CATATTAAATGAAATTCATAAAAACACAGATACTACATACAAAATATACAGAAAATTAAAATGTATAAATTATATTAAAGAAAATAACACATAAAATTCAAATACCTGCATAAATTATATTTTATCGTACTCATTATATCGAAATATACAAAAAAACACAAAAAATATAAAAAACAACAAAAAAATAAATAAAAGATAGAAAAAACACACAAAAAATAAATAAAAGATATAAAAAACACAAAAAAAATAAATAAAAAATAGAAAAAACACACAAAAAATAAATAAATGATACAAAAAACACAGCAACAATAAAAGACAGTTCCGACAATAATGTTACGAAGAATATAACAGTTCCATAAAAAAATTGATAGAGTTAACAAATGATACCTGAAATAAATGAACAGATTGAAATTTACGCGCGAACCTTCGTGCGAACCAATCAGAAGATGGGTAGGAGCAACATGGCGTCGTTGTAACCTGTCAAACGTCACTAAATACGTACATTTTTAAACACTTGTATTTCTTAAACTATTGGTTTCCTGGACATTTAACTTGCATTTTCGAATGTTTCAGGTAAAAACCATAAGATTTGATACTTTTCATCCAGAAATTTTTGGTCCCCCAAGACGAAGTTCAGCCACTATCGTTATTGCAATTAACCAATAAGAACGGTGAACCACCTTACGACATCCTACAAATACTGCTCGTTCCATTAAAAAGTATGAAATAAAATAAGGGTATAGTTCCGAATAGCCCCGGCGGAGGGGGTGGTCCCCCTTTGGAGGGGGGGGGGGGGGGGGGGGGGGAGACCCCAAATATCAAACGGTATCCACATCAGACCAGTAGTTTCGGAGATATTAATTAAAAACTTTCGCAGAATACATAGAATTCTGCCTATACAGATATCACTAACACAACCATCCCCGCTGTAGAAATCGTGGTCGTCGAGTGTCAAGTAGCCGATGACACAGTAGGGGGCCTCGACCTGAGTAGGGTGTCTCATTCAGTTGTGATCATTGTACCATTGTAATCTATAGGGTGTCTCATTCAGTTGTGATCATTGTACCATTGTATTTAAAGTAATTATTCTTGTGTTTTAGGCTTTGCCCCTCCCCCGGCACCCCCGCCCGGAGAATATAACCTAACCTAACCTACTACGGTTTGATATTCGTAGACGAACAAAGTGTTACCTTCTGTTCGTATATGTATAACTGGCAAATTCGCCTTACATATGCCTTACATTATTGGGTAAAATTCTGTGTAAAGTTGTTTGCGAATATTTCGACAGCTTGTTATTTCCATTAAAAACAAAAATCATATTCGTATTCAGCATATCAAAACGAGTAAAACGATGAGATTAATGTAAACGTGAACCACAGTTTACAAAATAATGCGCTTTATATATATACGACACCATGTAGATACCCAGGTCGAGACCCCCTACTGTGCCATCGACTGCTTGACGCTTGACGACCACGGTTTCTACAGCGGGGATGGTTGTGTTAGTCATGTCTGTATAGGCAAAATTCTATGCATTCTGCGAAAGTTTTTCATTAATATATCCGGAACTACTGGTCTGATGTGGATACCGTTTGATATTTGGGGTTTTCTCCCTCCCCCCTCTTCCCCCTCCAAAGCCCATGTCGATCGGCCACCGGGGCTATTCGGAACTACAGCCTAAAATAATTTTTAACAAAAAATACAACCGACTTCGAAATGCACTAAAAAATATGAAATAATTTCTACTTCATTTATACAAATACTCAACAGCTGTTTATATTCGGGTATTTTTAATTTTGCGCCGCCTCCGAAAAGGTTGAGATGTGTTTAGTATACTATTTAACGAGTAAATAGGTTTTATTAATAGCTGTTGGGTATTTGTATAAATGAAGTAGAAATTATTTCATAATTTTTAGTGCATTTCGAAGTCGGTTGTATTTTTTGTTAAAAATTATTAAAACATCTTTTCCATAATGCTGAGATCCTTATATTATAACATTAAATCGATTTTCAATTTTATTATAAAATGAAGTGATTATTCGTCCAAATAATAATCCAAATTATAGCCAGAAGAAAAAGTATCCACAGCGCGTGTTCACCGACCGTTAAACATCTTGAGCGCGTGCAAAAACTCGCACACAATCGAAGACACGACTTGACGATGACAACAAGTTCAACGAGCGAATCGCCCTCCCAAAGTCGGCTTGCGTCGCGTCGTTTAAAATCGAAAGTTTCCACCACCATCGTTGCGTCGCTGAGCTGAACCCCCTCCACCATACACGGGCCCTTCGTCGTTCGTCGCCATTACAGAATCATTCCGAATACAACGGTCGAACCGTATGGACATATTATAATATACTCACTCGTGCGTTTCTTGGTTCAGAAAAATTAACCTATGTTAACATGTGTATAAACGTGTGTTAGGTCTAGCTAGTTATTCAGTTTTACTAACTAACTTTTTGTAATTATACTTTGAAATTTCATTAATTTCGGTTGTCGGTTTTTTTCTGTAGCTGTTTGTTCGGGTATCGAGACAAGTTCTGAAGTTGCGAATTCGGTGCCCGTTTTTCGCGAAGAAGGCTTTATCGAAGAATCATCGTTTTTGGTCGACGTTTCTTTATGTGGAAACGAAAACTGCAAGCAAATCGAACTTGGAAAACGTTATTACCCTCAACCTGCGGACTACGGGCATCTTCGAATTCTGGTAAGTGATACAGTTTCTATTTCCTTTGACATTGTATCTTTGCATGAAAATTTTCATTCTGCGTTTAATAATGATTGGCGTCGGCAGAAGCGAATTAAGTGAAGGGGGCATTTTCCACGATACATAGAAAATAAGCCAATTTCAAGTTCATTTTTCTCAGAATTTACTTTAGGCATCAATTTCAAATTACTAGAGCATCTAGTGTATCATACTAGATGCGTACTTGAGCTACAGGAAATATTGAAATACGGAATAGAAAAAATTATACAATCTTATAAATGTGTGGATTTATTTGTACTCTAACCTTCAACATAAAAGATGTTGCTAATCTTATTGTAAGCCGAATTTCAAAAAAATCTTTTCCTAAAATATGTGTTACCCTTAATAGTAAAAGCCCACGGAATTGTAACTAAATCGGCCGAATGAATACTGAGAAAAACGAACATAAGTACAGGAAAACGTGTGATTTTATAAAGGCAGCATTTTTCTAAAATTTTGCCTCTATCAGTAACTCACGCTTAACTTTGTGAACAATTCTCAAAAATGGTTTATTATTAAATAAAGAAATAATTTGATTTTCGGACTCCCAAAATGCCCACTTTTTTAAAGATTTCTGGTGCCCCGGGATTATCAAACTTTCATGGGCACTCATAGTTGATAAAGGGTATAGCCGGATAAGATGGTCAAAAGTGCCCCCAAACCAAATTCGACTTGCAATGGCTCATTTGATAGCTTATCAAAAAGCTAAATATACAGAAAAAAAAAAATCAGCGTGAACAGACTCGAACCTACGAAAAGCCTAGCAGCGGTTTAGCAGTCAGGCGCCTTAACCGCTGGACCAACGACACCGTTGGAAATCCTTTCGATTTTTTGATATATATAGCACATAAAGTACTCTCAATAATTCTGGTTTATTTAGTTTTTTAAATTCTTATTGTGTTTCACTGTACGTAAAAACATTGAACATTGTATAACACACTTACTTGATAAAGAACAGACGAAAATTCGCAGTACAAGTAACTCTGACACGCAAAAAACAGCGAAAAACTCAGTTTTTAATTTTTTTAACTATGGCGCACCTGACCAAAAATTCTCAAAAAAATTGAGAATAATAGTATCGATAATATACACTTATGAAAAAAATATGAATCTAGATCCGCGACTCCTTCTATACAAAATCGCCATTTTTCCGAATTTTTAGACATTTTTGATTTTTCACGGCTTCAGTTTTCAATCTAAAAATCTGAAAAAATTCTGTAATATGTGCCTCACAAATAGAAATGTCTCTGATTTTTTTCCGAATTTTCGAATGTTATTAAAGCGGAGAAATTGGCAAAAAACCTCGCAATTACATTTTTACCCGTAACTACCCTCCCAGATAACATACAGAGTTGAAACTTGGCACAGACTAGTTTTTCTTGATCACCTATCGAATGGTTCATAGCAAGTCGAATTTGGTTTGGGGGCACTTTTGACCATCTTATCCGGCTATACCCTTTAGTTGGAAAATTGCAATTAGTTCAAAGTACTGTACTGGATCGATAACACTGTCCAACACGAATTTTGTTTTACCAATAGCCAGTGGGTGATCGTTGTAGAGCTTCTCGTCCTGAACACGAATCCGAAAACCGAATTGCTCTATCACCCTCAGTTTTCAAAAAACACGAGTTTTTGTAAAAACATGTATTTTGGGGGGAAAATGACGTATTACGCGGAAACTAAAAGCGCTAGAACGTTCGCATTGGTCTCATAAGATAGAAGAGAGTTTCCCGAATACATTCATATATATAGTTATTATATTACATGGTTCTGAATAGATGTAAATGTTGATGAAAGTTTAAAAAATAGCCGGCGCACGTATTTCGTACGTATTACTTTTGTATTTTTAAGAAAAGTTTTCTATCTAGCGCGAATTCTCTATACAGTACCGAATTCTGTAGACATTTCCGAAGAAGAAACTATATGGGGTAAGTATTGGAGCAGTATGCACTTCGAGTAAATCGAAAAAATATCTGCCGGTGACGCGTGCACGGCGTTTTGCCGCCAAGCGGCCATAGCTCGCTCTCTTCGCCTAGTCAGTGCCGTAGCTACGCGTAATCAACACTAATGGTGGGGTTTAATATACATTCACCTTTTATATCTATAATGTTTGATTTTTTTTTTGCTTTTATTATTATTTCATAATTATTATTTCTCTTTTGTTGTTATTCATCATTATTGTTAGATACCAACAATAAAATGATAAAATACTTTAATTTAAAATTTTAAAATCGATTGACGAGCATTACGACTTTATCAATCGACAGTCGATTGAAGACAATTTTGAAATTTGTTTATGATATAGAAAGAATAAAATGTATAAGATAAAGAATTACCTGCAGTAAACGAACTTAAAAATGTTTTCGTCTTGCTTGACGTTTGTACTTCACATCTTTGTTGTCCTTCATCAAAGTCCAGCAATAATCTGCTAACATTGCACATGATTTTTTTCCTTGGTACCGTTTTTCCATCCTAAAAATGTCTTGGTGGAAACGTTCTCCATGTTCGTCACTCACATCACCGAGATTTGGCGGAAAGAAGTCTAAGTGAGAATCTAGGAAGTGAATCTTCAAAGACATATTGCATCCGAGTTCTTTACATGCTTTCAGGAGTTTATTGACTATGGAAATATAATTTCTTGCTCTATGGTTTCCGAGAAAATTATATGTTGTTTTCTTGAATGCAAGCCACACTGCTTTTTCCAAATTATTCAGTTTTAATGTGAAATTGTTATCATTCATCAGATTTCTAATTTGAGGGCCAACGAATATTCCTTCTTTTATTTTTGCGTCGGATATTAATGGGAATTTTGTTTTTAAATATTCAAATCCTGGTCCTGATTTATCCATTGCCTTAACAAAATTTTTCATTATCCCTAATTTTATGTGTAGCGGTGGTAAATAAACATTTTGAGGATCGATAAGATTTGTATGTTTTACATTTTTCTCGCCAGGGATTAATTGTTGCCGCGGTGTCCAGTCTTTTTTTATATAATGCTGCTCCCTTGCTCTGCTGTCCCACTCACAAAGGAAACAGCAATATTTTGTATAGCCTGATTGTAGTCCGAGTAATATGCCAATCACTTTTAAATCTCCACATACTTTCCAATTATATTTATTATATTGAATCTTGAGTAAAAGTGTTTTGAAGGTGTCATAAGATTCTGTCATTTTTGCAGTATATGCGATTGGAATGGAAGGATATATTGCCAATGTGTAGTAAAACTGCTTTTAAGCTAAGTTTTGACGAATCTATAAAGAGTCGCCATTCTTTCGGATCATGCTCGAAACCCAAAGTATGTAATAATGAGTCAATATCGGTGCAGACGTGAAGTTCCTCGTGTGTTGTGAAATATTCTAATAACGCATGATTTCGAGTTCTGAAATGTGTCACTTTTGTTGCGTTCTCGAGTAAGTTCCACTGTTTTAATCGTGATCCTAAAAGTTCTGCCTGTTCTTTCGATAACTGCAAATCTCGTACGAGATCGTTAAGATCAGATTGCGATAAAAGATGTGGCCCCAGGGGGGAGGGAGTTCTTCTGTCATTTTCTTCCGTTTCAATGTTTTCTATTTCTGTTTGTTCCTCATATAGATTTTGTTTATTTGATGGTGGTGTTGGTATGGGTAATTCTTCGGAATGTGCAACGGGACGAATAGCAGTAGGTAAATTTGGGTACTCTATCTTTTTTTTCCCTTTCTTATTAATGCCAGAAATTTTGCATAAACAAAAATAACAATCTATGGCATGATTTGTCGGTTCCCTCCATATCATGGGAATCGCAAATGGCATGGCTTTTCGTGTACCTCTTACCCAAGCTAAAAGAACTGTGGCACAGCGTTGGCAACAAACATGTGGAGCCCACTGTTTATCCTGGTCACTGATTTTGCATCCAAAATAATGTTCGTATGCAAACCTTATTAAAGGTGTTATACTTCTGCACTCAGAGTTTAAAACTACCTCCCCACAAATATAACAAAAAGAGTCTGGTGGATTTCTACACATTCGCGACATTGTTAAGTACTATAAAATGTATATTACACAACACTAAATACTATGCACTATTATAAATTACAAAACACTACACTATAACAACACATAAAATACGCTATATACTACATATAATAAGTCATAAAATATGCACTAGAGTGTCAAAAAACTATGTACTAAAGTAACTTATAAAATGTTATGCACTAAAGTGTCAAAATACTATGAACTATAATAACTTATAAAATGTTAAACACTATACCAACACACGTTTTTACTCTATATGACGGAAGACTTTTTGAATTGCTTAGGACGACTGACTCGGACAATTTTCAAAACGAAACTAAATTCAGACTTCAACAGTGCATAGCAAGCCAGAGAATTTCAAGATATTTATTGTTTCTTTGATTGTATCGAGTGTTCGAAACAAACGACAAGTGGTGCTTATATTTAGAAAGAGCGCTACATTGTATTACATTTTCATTTCGAAAAGGCTTTCAATAGTATACTGAATTTCCAAGAAACCTTCTTATAATTTTCTTGAAAATCATAGCGTAGAAAATTATATTTCCATGATAAATAAACTTCCATATTTTTAAATTCGTTTACTGCAGGTAATTCTTTATCTTATACACTTTATTCTTTCTATATCATAAACAAATTTCAAAATTGACTTCAATCGACTGTCGATTGATAAAGTCGTAATGCTTGTCAATCGATTTTAAAATTTTAAATTAAAGTAACAAAACAAAAATCAAACATTATAGATATAAAAGATGAATGTATATTAAACCCCACCATTAGTGTTGATTACGCGTAGCTACGGCACTGACTAGGCGAAGAGAGCGAGCTATGGCCGCCTGGCGGCAAAACGCCGTGCACGCGTCTCCGGCAGATATTTTTTCGATTTACTCGAAGTGCATACTGCTTCAATACTTACCCCATATACTTTCTTCTTCGGAAATGTCTACAGAATTCGGTACTGTATAGAGAATTCGCGCTAGATAGAAAACTTTTCTTAAAAATACAAAAGTAATACGTACGAAATATGTGCGCCGGCTATTTTTTAAACTTTCATCAACATTTACATCTATTCAGAACCATGTAATATAATAACTATATATATGAATGTATTCGGGAAACTCTCCTCTATCTTATGAGACCAATGCGAATGTTCTAGCGCTTTTAGTTTCCGCGTAATAGGTCATTTTCCCCCCAAAATACATGTTTTTACAAAAACTCGTGTTTTTCGAAAACTGAGGGTGATAGAGCAATTCGGTTTTCGGATTCGTGTTCAGGACGAGAAGCTCTACAACGATCACCCAGTGGCTATTAGAAAACAGAGAAAAAGTTAAAATTTGTTGGACAGTGTAATTTCTCGCATTTAAGACTCTAGAAGAGTTTTGGAAACATCGAAAGGATTCGCATTTTAATAATTTAATGATTTGAAAAGTTTAAAAAGAGAGGATTTATTTTGTTGACAATTGGATTCAAAATTTGCAAAATTGTAGTTATAGATTATAGTTATATATATAGATTTATAGATTTTAAATCATCATATAATGATATTAGAATTAAAAGGAGAGGATATATTTTTTAGCAATTGGATCAAAAATGTATAAAATTGCTGGAGATTTTAAAGTTTGAAATTTCGTATTGTATTATGTAATGATGGCGGTAAATAAGCATTAATTCTTTCCACACAAGCTTCATATTAGCGTTGGATTAAGGAAAAAGGTAAATATGTACAAAATGACCCCAGTCGCGCATGATCTTGACCTTGACATATGTTGTCAAGGTCATGACCCTGAGTAACCTTGACCTTCACAAACGTGGCCGTCGCGATCCGTGCAAAAGTTATGAAGCATTAAAGTTTTCGATTTCCGGTTTAAGACTCTCCTAACGGGGAAGGTTGTAAACGTAATTACTAATAATAATTGGATAGTGCCTGTAATTAATTAGTTTTTATTGTGTCTATTAATTTCACAACGGATACATTCTACGCATAATACGAAAGAATGCATCAATTCTTTCGTTGAAAATGTACTTTTTTTTAAAAACGAATTCCGCCAAATAGTGAATATAATGCCTTTCTACAATGCCAAATCGAGGTATTGTTCCTCGCATGTCTCTCCATAATCTCTCTATATTTTGAGTATGGACACTAGTTTGTGGATCCACCAAATTTCTACTATGATTAATTACATAATGACTGTAACCATAATTACACAGAGTGTCGTATGCACGCCAGCAATCAGAATGAATAACTGAACCAGGAGCAATTCGACGCTTAGTGATATCGATAAGAGTGCTACTGGTGCGATCCTTCATGGGCGCGATAAACATTTTGCCACTGACTCGTTCAATGGCACCGAATACCCACTGACCTTTGACGATTCGTCCTCTATTATATTTTCGCTTTCCCACTTTTGCCTCATCAATCTCAACGATAACGCCTGATCCTCCAAGTAATTCTTCGTCAGTTATAATCCACTGTTCAAGTAACTGTAATAGGACAATTTCATTAGACAAGTAAACATAATTAAAAATTGGGAAAATGAAACCATTGCGAGAAAGAGCATTCTAACATGCACATATTGCTTGCCGGTCAGTGTTGTTGTTTATAAAAATAGTAGACGACAAGCGGCACTCTCTTTTTGAATTTTGGCATGCGTGGCCGACCGCCTTACTGCAGTCGGAATATTAATTTAACCTAACCTAACTTAATCTAATACAAAATTAAATTAGTGAACTTTTTAATCAGTGAATTAGGTTTGGTTAGGCTAGAACAATATTCCGGCCGCCGTTAGACGGCCGGCCACGCAAATCGAAATTCAAAATCATTAAAATCAGTTAAGTTCGATTTTTTAGTTCTCCCGTTATACTCCTTAGGTTTCGGTCGCCGCAATCTGTTTATATAATTGGTAATTATATAATGAGAAAGCAGCATCTTTACGATTTTACCTCAGAGTGATAAAATATTCTCAGTGTTTTAAAGTAGAATATCTTTTTATTTTACTTAATTCACGACAGAAATTGGTCCAATCAACGACAGTGCGTGCAGATAAACCCAATTGCTCTTGTAAAAATAATTGGCGTGGTGGCCGAATCATTGAAAAATACGCAATAAATCTGCAAGTTTTCACCATTCCAAGATGTCCGTGAGAAAACCACGTGTCAGCTAAAGCATTTTTCCCAAACGTGCAAATAACTCGTCGTTTCTTCTTCTTACATTTTTCGATATAAGATTTGTTTCGACACTTGAATCTTAACGATTTATCATCAAAATCAAGTTCGATAATATTATTACATTTTGGACATGTAATCCGATCGCGAATAACTCCTTTATTGCATAAAAATCTAATTAAGGCAGTGTGGTCGTATGTTAAGTGTAGAAAATCATGTAACAACATGTTTCCCTGTCTACAGTGACTCGTCAGATAGATTAGATCTATTCGAAGTGTGGGATAAGAGTATTTAAACGCGTGTCGTTTTGGAGCAGAGAATGATCTCTCGATGCTCCGTGACGGACTCTTATATTTACTGCTGGGGAGGGGGTGTACCTTCGGTGACCGGTTTCAACTCCGCACGTGGCCGGAGGATCATATTTTGCCTTTAACTGAATTTGTTTTTATAGATAGGAAAGAAAAGATACTTGGCTGTTAGCCGTTTTGGCCGTTACGCCGGAGGCATGGTAGCGACCCAACCGCTACAGAAGCTACAGAATAACCTTCTGTTGATCAGAAAGAATGCCTTCTACCAACTAAAGTTGAACAAGGGAGGAGCGAAAAGTGGAAACGGAGAAAAATTTATTAAGGAAAATTTGAGAGCGTTAATTGGCCAAGAAAATAAGTTAGGGTGGAGAGTGGGGGTTAACAATTCTGGAAGCGACGATTATGTCTATTGTTACGACTATTGCTGCTTTTCAACACCGTGTTTATGTTCCATGTTTGCACTTTTTACGCGTGGAAGGTCCACGCTAAAGACATCCTGGGCTTCCCGTTCAGCGTGTGTGGCTATGTACGTGCAGACGAACAATTGTTGAACACTTCTTACAAGTCGAAAACTTTAATGCTTCATAACTTTTGAACGGATCGCGACCGCCACGTTTGTGAAGGTCAAGGTTACTCAGGGTCATGACCTTGACAACATATGTCAAGGTCAAGGTCATGGGCGACTGGGGTCATTTTGTACATATTTACCGGAGAG